GCTCCCTGGACAGAGTTTTTGGTGAAAGGTTTGGCCATCTTCATGAAGAACTGCTGAGGGCCGTTCAGATGACGCCACAGGTCGGTCTGAACAACTCCAGGATGGAGAGAGTACGTTGTCACACCCGTGCCTGTAAAAAAACAAATGTAACTGAGTTTTTAAAGGAAAAATTAATGACAGAACAAACAGTGCTGCACCTCGCTGGACAATTCTCTGTTCAAACTAAATCAGTTGGTTAAACTCCAGGCATGTCTGACGGACATAAAGCCCTGGATGACCTGTCATTTTCTTCATTTATATTCAGACAAAACTGAGGTTATTGTATTTGGCCCTAAACACAACAACAAATCATATTGGTCTGCATGGCTGTCATCCCAGAAGGAAGCCTCCTCTAAAGATGAAGCACAAGAAAGCCCGCAAACAGATTGCAGAAGACAAGCAGACTGAGGACATGGATTACTGGAACCATGTCTTGTGGTCTGTTGAGATCAAGATAAACTTATTTGGTTCAGAGCATGCATGGCTGAAACCAGGTGAGGAGTACAAAGACAAGCGTGTCTTGCCTCCAGTCAAACATGGTGGTGGAAGTATTATGGTCTGGGGCTGCATGAGTGCTGTCGGCACTGGAGAGCTACAAGTACATGAATGCCAACATGTACTGTGACAACCTGAAGCAGAGCATGATACCCTGCCTTCAGAAACTGGGCCGCAGGGCGGTATTCCAACATGATAACAACCCCAAACACACCTCCAAGACAAACACTGCCTTGCTAAAGAAGTTGAGGGTGAACATGATGGACTGGCCAAGCAGGTCTCCAAATCTAAACCCTACTAAGCATCTGTGGGGCATCGTTAACACCACAAGGTCTCCAACATCCACCAGCTCCATGATGTTGTCATGGAAGAGTGGAAGAGGATTCCAGTGGCAACCTGTGAAGCTCTGGTGAACCCAAGAGGGTTAAGACAGTGCTGGAAAATAACGGGGGCCACACAACATATTGACACTTGGGCCCAATATGGACATTTTCTACTTAGGGGTGTACTCACTTTTGTTGCCAGCAGATTTATAGTTATTTTGAGGGGACAGTGAATTGATGCTGTTATACAAGCTGTACACTGATTGCAAAGTGTCATTTCTTCAGTGTTGTCCCATGAAAAGAAAGATATAACAAAATATTTGTAGAAAATACTCCCTTTTGTGACATACTGTAAATAAAACTGAACTGAAATTAAACAAATGCCGCCAGATGCTCCAAATATGGATAAAATAAAACAGTGATGAGGATAATTAACCCACCTTCTAGTCGTTTAGCCAGCGAGCGGGTGAAGAGGACGTTGGCCAGCTTGCTCTGGGAGTAAGCTTTGCTCTTGTCGTAGCTCTTCTCGCTGTTGATGTCATTCAGATTGATGGAGCCCCAAGTGTGAGCCATAGACGACACAGTGATGATCCTGGCTGGTGCTGATCTTTTAATCAGGTCAAGCAACAAGTACGTCAACAGGAAGTGACCTGGAAAAGAAGGAAATGTAGCTTTTTAAAATTCAATTCTTAATTTCAGAAAACAGAGAAAGGATACTGTGTAAGTATTGTAACCCAATTTCGAATGTCTTGAAAAATAAAAGGATTTTTTAACTTTTAACAGCTCTGATGAGAAACACCGTGTAGTGAAGCAGCCAAAAAATATCATATATGCACTGTATACTTACACAAAAGAAATTTGCTTCCAAATCAGATAGAAATCAGCGACGAACTGGGTAATAAAGCAACATCGGTTCTCTTGCAGTAAACTCACTCACATGACAAATCTTGGACTAGTACACTGTTGTAAGTGAGAAAGGCTGCACTAATATTGAAAGTAAAGCCAATCCACACAATTTTTTATGAATAGATGTGAACACAAGGAAGTTATTGAGACAAAATAAAGCCTTTACAAGTGTAATAGTAATAAAGGGCAATCAGTGTTTAACAATAAAAGGATATTACTGCTAAATAAAAGGGAAACATGGAGATGCATACAGCTGAAAGTGAGAAAATGTGAACTGAAATGTCTTTTGCTGAGAGTCTAGCATACATGATTTATTTTCTTTTATTATAGGGTCTCTAAATGGCTGCCTAATATATCAGCGTTATGTATAATTTTGCAGTAAATGCATTCAAACAGCAACATAGAGAAAGTCATGTTGCGATCAAGCTGCAATGTGAGATCTGGTGGTTAAACTGACAAATGTTCGACTGCCTCCTGGTGGACATTACAAGCAGTTTATAGTAACTTTTTAAAAGCCCTGATACCTCCTTATTGGGGGTATGACTGATAGACAAGCAGCAAAGCTTAGAGAATGACAGAGAATCTAAATAAGCAGTCTGTCCTTGTTGCAGTTCATTTTCTGGATAATAATTAATGTGTCAAATAAAAATAAAATCCATCTGTGACTCCTTGAATTCCATCTTTGTTGGTTTTATTATTTACCCATGTGATTGACGCCGATCTGCATCTCAAAGCCGTCGGCAGTTTTCCCATAAGGACAAACCATCACGCCGGCGTTGTTGATGAGGATGTCGAGTTTTGGCTCATCTGCAGAAAAGAAAAAAAAAGGCACTGAGAGGTTAAACTTTGTGCCTTTAAAGTACCTTCACAGTGTTCTAAGGAAGAAATGATTTCACCTCTGTTGATGGCTTCAGCAAATTCTCTTATGGACTTGGTGTCAGACAAGTCAAGCTTCATGCACTTGACACCGTCTCTGCCTGAGTATTCCTTGATTTCTTTCATGGCCTCCTGTCCTTTCTCCATGTCCCTGCACGCGATAATGATCTTTGCCCCTAAACAGAGAAACAACAGATTTACAACAGCCTGGCCACAGATTATTACAGATTATTTGCTTATATGAATGCATAGACGTGATGTGTGGGTGAATGGGTGAAGAGCACCCTCTCGTGACTAAACGAGCACACTACCGTGTGATTAACAGACATGGAAGGGGAAGTTTCAACATTGATGGTAAGAAACATGACCAACATTCGCTAAATATGATAGAATAAAACAACCAAACTGATTCGTACGGGGCAAACGGCACTCACAAGATGAAGCAGTTTAGTAATATTATAAGAAATTATGTAAATATTAAGCAGCTCCGGAAGTTAGGTTCTATGAATACAGTTGGATTATTTATGGTTCAGTGTTAATGATTAAGAGATTTTACTCTAAATGCTGTAACTTACATATTGAGGCCTGTAGAAATGACAGAAAATATAACATATGACTGAAATGTCATTTGTGTTGTAATTAAAGCTGAGCATCAAATTGAGTTCAGTCTAAATGTGTAACTCTGAATATCAAAATGACTGTACTTTATTAAGTTACAGTTCTTGTGTGGTATAAAAGATTTTAAAAGGCCCAAATTGAAACAAATCAGTCACATAAATGATGTGAAATTAATGATCTATAAACTGTTACTTATGCTTTCTGTTAATGTGAGCATTTGCAGTATCACACTTAGATGAAAAACTAATTAAAAGGATTATTTATTCAACTTTTTACAATTAATTGTTTTGTTTCTTGTGACATGTCTTCTCCAAGATGCCAAATAGAAAAAAACTTTAACAGCCAAAACACAAACTACTGCAATTCATTTCATTGATGAGACGCACAGACGCTTTTTCCACTTTGAAACAGAGAACTAAACTAATGCCGTCACACCGGCGCTAACCTCTGCTCTACTAACCTCTGTACCGCAACACAATCTCTGATGCAGCACTTGTGTCAAAAGTCTTGCTGAAAATGAAGCATGTTTCTTGGGTTCAACTTCCATATTTTAAGGCAAAACAGCAGCTTTATGAAACGGAAACCGTTACGATTTGTAAGCGCAAGAAACAACAGCTCCCATAAAGATTTATCAGTACGGCAGTCCAGTACTTGTGTAACGCAAACTTTATACCAATCATATCCATAAAATGTCTGAAGTCATGTTTACAGTTTCAAAGTGCTCCTCCTCTTTTGTCCTGCTGTTATTATTATATGCCTGAACTAACCAAACACTGGACTTGTAAATTCACCTCTTTAAATGAGCTTTTATTGGGTTTACTGTTTTCATTCAAGCCCATTAAAAACACAGAAATCATGCTTACGAAAAGAAATATAAACACAGCATGTAATATTTTCTTAAATTTGATCAATTTTATTTATGAGAGAAATAAGCAGCACTTTCATTTCATTTGTGATATTTTCCTGTATCATTGATATTCCTTTACTACCTCAGAATTATTCAAAGTACAACATATTACTTTTTCTATTCTAGTCCTATTTTAGCCTACGTACTTGTATTTTCAGCAACCTATCGTACTTATATTTTCTTGCTTTTCTACTCGACGCTGCATTTTTCATGTTGTAATTACATTTTCTGGCAAAACACTTGGTTGTTGCTGCCTGCATGTGGAATGTCGTCTCACACTTCCTGAAGGTCTCTGTAAAATTGGCCTCTGACGTCTCTGGGGACATGTTGTCGGAGAGGTCCACCCAGAGTTGTCTGACATGATTCCTCAGACAATAAATAACACAGTTGTGCACATTCATGTGTTTGGCTACAACTCAAACTGATAGTGCAGCATCCAGCAGACCAACAATCTGTTGTTGTTTTTCTCTTGGCATTGGTGGCGTCGTGCCATTTAAAAAACAACCGCAATTTAAAGCAGACTTTTACAACCACTGGTCAAAGGACTTTCCTGTTTATTGGTCACACTATCTGATTATTAAAACCACACCTGATGAGGGTGTGAATTCACTCAGTGGTGGAGAATTTGTCATCAGCTGACACATGTTTGTGCACAATTGGTCAAATTTAATGCTTTCCAATCCAAAAAAATAGAACTTGCTTTTAACTTTTACTCCATTTGCATGCTGTGTTTGAATTTCTGTTCAGTACAAACGACGCAAATTAGGTAATTTTTCAAAAAAGCTACTGCCCCAGGNCACCCTGGACAGGTCACCAGTCTATCACAGGGCTACACTTAGAGACAGACAACCAAGCACACTCACATTCACACCTACGGACAATTTAGAATCACCAATGAACCTCAACATGTTTTTGGACCATGTGGGAGGAAACCGGAGAACCCAGAGAGAACCCACGCTGCACGGGGAGAACATGCAAATGGCTTGATCATCTCAGTTCTTACTGACATCTAGAGATGGAATAACCCATAACTAAATACCTGAAACACCCGACCACCTGAGAATATGTCAGTCATGATGTGTTCAGGTGCACCCACGGATGCATTTTACTAACTGACTGGTATTTTTTTCTATTTGTAAGTATGCATGTAGAAACCCCACAAAATCTTTTGGGAATGTACACAGTAGTGAACTCAAAATCAAGCACAGACGGAAATAAAAATTATGGAGTGTAAGAGTGAGTTTACTGGCAGAAAAATACAGGTACAGAAAATTCTTTAAGACATAGACAGTGTGGCCTGAGTTACTCAAGTTTATCCCTCAATTAGTCCACGAATTTCACTGAAGTAACCTTTGCACAGCTTTTATCAAAATGAATAGAAAGTTGTTTAAGCTTACAGTAAATTGCAAACACCGAGAGATCACAAACTTTACAAAATTATACAGCTGCATTAATAAATTAGTTATTTTGTAAAACACACAAACACAACAATTGTTGGAAAAATATAGACGTGAATGTAAGTGTATGAGGTCATTTGCACCTTATTTCCAGGCAGGCAGTAGTGGTGAAATCAGCTCTATTGCAGCATTTAGCAGAGAAACACGCTAAAAGTTTTTCTTGTCCTTCCAGGTTGGTTTATTCCCATGTTATGGAGAGCATATTGCAGCTCAGCTCCCACAGCTTCTGCGCCAGGTTGTCGTCTTTTGCAGTGGAAGAGGGGCTGGTACGAGCACAGTCACTGCAAGCAAGGACACATTAGATAAATAACTTAAAGTGTTCACCTTATCCAGATTTCTGCCGACATCAGCTTTAAGCAAACTGTTCTAAAACTAAATGTCTGTGTGCTGTAATAAAAGTGTACCTGTAGTATTGACCGGTCTCATTCGCCAGTGACGGCTCCACAGCGCAGTAGATCGTCGTCTGGGCTCCCTGGACAGAGTTTTTGGTGAAAGGTTTGGCCATCTTCATGAAGAACTGCTGAGGGCCGTTCAGATGACGCCACAGGTCGGTCTGAACAACTCCAGGATGGAGAGAGTACGTTGTCACACCCGTGCCTGTAAAAAAACAAATGTAACTGAGTTTTTAAAGGAAAAATTAATGACAGAACAAACAGTGCTGCACCTCGCTGGACAATTCTCTGTTCAAACTAAATCAGTTGGTTAAACTCCAGGCATGTCTGACGGACATAAAGCCCTGGATGACCTGTCATTTTCTTCATTTATATTCAGACAAAACTGAGGTTATTGTATTTGGCCCTAAACACAACAACAAATCATATTGGTCTGCATGGCTGTCATCCCAGAAGGAAGCCTCCTCTAAAGATGAAGCACAAGAAAGCCCGCAAACAGATTGCAGAAGACAAGCAGACTGAGGACATGGATTACTGGAACCATGTCTTGTGGTCTGTTGAGATCAAGATAAACTTATTTGGTTCAGAGCATGCATGGCTGAAACCAGGTGAGGAGTACAAAGACAAGCGTGTCTTGCCTCCAGTCAAACATGGTGGTGGAAGTATTATGGTCTGGGGCTGCATGAGTGCTGTCGGCACTGGAGAGCTACAAGTACATGAATGCCAACATGTACTGTGACAACCTGAAGCAGAGCATGATACCCTGCCTTCAGAAACTGGGCCGCAGGGCGGTATTCCAACATGATAACAACCCCAAACACACCTCCAAGACAAACACTGCCTTGCTAAAGAAGTTGAGGGTGAACATGATGGACTGGCCAAGCAGGTCTCCAAATCTAAACCCTACTAAGCATCTGTGGTGCATCGTTAACACCACAAGGTCTCCAACATCCACCAGCTCCATGATGTTGTCATGGAAGAGTGGAAGAGGATTCCAGTGGCAACCTGTGAAGCTCTGGTGAACCCAAGAGGGTTAAGACAGTGCTGGAAAATAACGGGGGCCACACAACATATTGACACTTGGGCCCAATATGGACATTTTCTACTTAGGGGTGTACTCACTTTTGTTGCCAGCAGATTTATAGTTATTTTGAGGGGACAGTGAATTGATGCTGTTATACAAGCTGTACACTGATTGCAAAGTGTCATTTCTTCAGTGTTGTCCCATGAAAAGAAAGATATAACAAAATATTTGTAGAAAATACTCCCTTTTGTGACATACTGTAAATAAAACTGAACTGAAATTAAACAAATGCCGCCAGATGCTCCAAATATGGATAAAATAAAACAGTGATGAGGATGAATAACACACCTTCTAGTCGTTTAGCCAGCGAGCGGGTGAAGAGGACGTTGGCCAGCTTGCTCTGGGAGTAAGCTTTGCTCTTGTCGTAGCTCTTCTCGCTGTTGATGTCATTCAGATTGATGGAGCCCCAAGTGTGAGCCATAGACGACACAGTGATGATCCTGGCTGGTGC